CGAAGGTCCTGACCCAGTTCTTCAGCCTCTGACCCTTCTCATGCCCTCTCAGGTCATGCTGAGCCCTTCAGAACTAGTGGAAATTTCCTCAGCCTGCCAGGAGCTTTCTGTGTGCTTTTCCCTTATCTCTGCAGCTTCTTCCGCTGGACACCCTTCCCAGTTCTACCCAGTGCATCTCTACTCATCTTTCAAAACCCAGCCTGGTTGTCCCACTTCTGGGGTACCACTTCTGACGTGGTTTGAAGCCTTCTGATTATCGCTCCAGCCTCCTGCCTAAGCTCCTGACCTCCAGCTACTCTCTCCCACCCTAAGCCCCTACAATGCAGCCTGTAGCCTTTTAAAAATACAAATCTTGTGCTGTCATTGCTTGCTTAAAATAACTGGTCAATGGAATAATCCATCAATCAATGCTTCAAGGGCTCCTCCTTGCCCTCAGGAAGGTGTCCAAAGCCTTGTGCTGGAACTCCAGGCTTGGGCCCTGCTGTTTCTCCTTTTCCTGATTGTCCTGCACCCACCATGCACTCAGGCACTTCCTGAGAGTAGACTGTGCCTGACACATGGCTGTGCCCCCAGCTGCCTGTAAGATACATTGGTTGGGTGGGTGGGTGAATGAGTAAGTGAATGGGGCTGAATCCGTGCTTGAACTAATATTTCTTATGGGCCCTAGAGCTGCTGTTTCCCACGGTGGACCCATTTTATGGCCAACACAGAGGCAGAAAGGAGAGACTGCTCTGGAAAGGAGAAAGAAAATCAATAAAAATGTAAATCTGGTGGAGAAAAGCTGTCCCAGGCTGGCTGTGGGGAGAGATAAGACTGGGCCAGCTGAGCCCTGGCTGACAGCAGAGAAGAGATTAGGGGACAAGGGAGCCGCAGCCAGGGCAAGGCACAGGGGGTAAGCGTCCTCTCTGTCTTCTCTGCCCCTCTCCGCTCTCCTGTTCCAGGTATTCATTAAATCCTCTCAGAGACAAGAGAAGGGAAAGAAACTTACAAATCCTGATCATCAGGTGCTGAGCCTGTGAGCCTGGGATGGTACTTTATCTGTCTCTACAACCGTGGGAAATGGAGACAGCGGATCCACCTCGCCTCACAGATGAGGAGCTGGGTGCACAGGAGTTCGGTCAGTTGTTCACGGTCATGTTGTGAATAAATGGCAGGCTCCAGGTCTTCACTTACATCTAAGGTCACTACAGCGCCAATATTTTTACTCATGAAGGATTTTGTCCTGAGATACTAGCCTTTGAGGAAGTCTGTACTGGGCTTCAGAGGGTCCCCATTCCTAAAACCGAATGCACAATTATGTATGTTTGGAGAAATGTTAAATTTTATTTATTTGGTTTTTGAGGCAAGGATTCTCTATGTGGCCCAGGCTGGCTTCAAATTTACCATCCTCCTGCCTCAGCCTCCTCAGTGATAAGATTATAGAAATGTATCACCACACTTGGCTTGATTTACAACTTTATTTATTTATAAATATTTATTTTACATCTATGTGTGAGCATGTGTGTGCACCACATGGGTACAGGGGGCCTGCAGAGCTCAGAAGAAGGCATTAGATTCCCTGGAGTTACAGGCAGTTGTAAGCTGCCCAGTCAATACTGGAAACCAAACCTGAGTCCTCTGCAAGAGCAGCAAGTGCTCTTAATCCAGTTCCAAACAATTAAAAAATAGAGTCTATGTCTTTAATCAGGCTGCCTCCCCCACTTGCTCCTCATTGCCATCCCATGCTGCCTCCCTGGAAGTGGTAGCCTTTGAAATAGGCCTTGATAAGGGATAGGACTTGATGAAGTGGGGATGTAGAGATGAGCAAGGGAAGGAATGAAGAGGACAGCTGAGTGTGTCATGAGGAAGAGTTCAGCGCATCCAGGCAATGGTGAAGGAGCCTCACACAGCAGCGTTGCTGATCATGGCTCCCAGCACCAGCTTCTGAGGGGCTGGGGCTGCCCTGGAACTGTCCAGCTTCTCCAAGCAAAAGGAACCAAAGGGAAGGCATTGTGCCAGTTCTGTTGCCTGTCCTGCTTGTTGCTATGCTTTCCCAGCAGTAGAATCTGGTGCAGGGTGAGAGAACGTGGGCTCATCACAGATGCAGATGCTCATGGCTCTTCATTGCCAGAGACTAGGTTTGTGTGTGCTATGTACCTGTGTGTGACCATGTGTGTGTGTGTGTGTGCATATGAGTGTGTGCACATATGTTCCTGTGAACGTGTGTGTACATGCATAGAGTTTGTGCATGATTGTGTGCTGGTGTGTGCAAGTGTTTCGCATGTGTGTTTGAGTGCATTTGTATGAGTGTATCTGTGTACATGAGTGTGTTTGCCTGTTTGGGTGTGCATGTGCACACGTGTGCATGCAGATTGTGTGTGTGCTTGTCATGTGTACATGTATTTTATGCACATGCACATATGCACTATGTGCATATGTATGCACATGCCTCTCTGTGAAAGTATGTGTACTCATGTGTTGGGAAACCCTGCTGTTAAAGTTGTAGTCCTCCATGTCCGGATAGCTCTAAGGGGCTCGGCACAAAATAGAAGGACTCCCCTTCTCAGCAGGGGGCCTCCTGCTCTCTTCCTGACTTACCTGGAAAGTGCCACCAAGCATGGATGCCTGACCTTATTTGGAACATGACCTTTGGCATAGTTACCTGGAGTAAAAACTACCCCCAGGTTTTTTTCTATATGATAATCAGGCATTGCCTGGTAGTCGGATCCCACTGCCACATGTAAATAAAGTATACTATGAGCACCTATCAGCTGAGGCTTTGGCTACTGCCTCCACACTATATTTTCTGTAGTTCTCCCACTGAGTCTGGGGCTGTTTCACTGAGTCTGGGGCTGTTTCACTGAGTCTGGAGCTGTTTGCATCATTAAACCTGCCTCCCTGGAAGGGCTTTCTTCTGTCAGTGCTCACTGGCCGTCGTGACCCCGCTCATCACTTCTGCTCCCCTTGTCCTCATGGACCGGTGGCCAACGACCCACGAGAAGAGGGAGAGACCCCACACTCATGCATGTATACATGTAAATGTGTGTGTACTTATGGGTGTGCACGGGTATTTGTGCAAATGTGTGTATGCATGTCTATGCACATGCATGCTTGTGTGCATCTATGTGTATGTGTGATAGTGTGTATGCACAGGTGTGCACATAGCATGTGTGTGTGTGTCTGCTCTCTGTCACCCCACAGTCCTCTTTTCACCTGCTGTGTTCCATCTCTTGGTTCTTGGCCACACATCTCCCTCCCCAGCCTGGAAGAGTTCAAACACATGGACAAGGGCTTTGTCTCCAGCTCTCAGTGCCTTTCAGCATGAACTCCCAGTGAGGTGAATGGTTCTTAGGCATCTGGGCTGCTACTCAAGCTCAAGGAGTTGTCTCATCAAAGGTACATATTGTCAGAGTCTGTGAAATCTGCAAAGGTAACATTTGACCCACTTCTTTTCCCTCCAACCTCCCTGTGGCTCACTGGTGGCCACTGGCATCTTCAGGAGCTGGTCAAGGAGTGGGCATGAGCTTGTTTTGGGTTCACTGGAATGTGGCTACATCTGCCTCAGTCACTTCTGTCTCAGGGAAATCACAGCAGCCATCTCTGTAGAGAATGACTTGGAACATTCTCATCCACTGTCTGCCTTACTTGGCATTGTGATATCAAAGTGTCAAATACCGAGGTCATGGTTCTGTTTGCAGCATGTGGACCTGGAAACATAAAGGCAGTAGAAGAAGCAGAGAAATATCCAAAATGTACAGAGCCAGAAGCTAGTTCATGGGAAATTCTAATCATCAGGAGGAAATACAGCTTAGAGGTATGCAAAGCAGTTAATTTTTAAAATATACCATTTTTTCTGGATGGAGTGAATTTTTTCTCATTCTAGGCAAATGTTTGCTTTCTTATCTAATTTTGTACAGGTTGAATATCCCTAAAATGAAAATCCACCACCTGAAGTGTTCTAACATCAAAACTTTCTGAGTGCTAACATAATAGCACAGTGGAAAATTCCAGACCTAACCTCAAGTGATGAGTTCAAGTCACACACAGGAACACTAAATATACTGTGTAAAACGACTTTCAGGGGCTCAGCAATTAAGAGCACTGACTGTTCTTGCAGAGGACCTGGGTTCAGTTCCCAGCACCCGCATGGCATTTAGTTCCAGGGGATCTGATACCATCTTCTGGCCTCCTCAAGCATTACATGACACCAGTGCACTTACATACATGCAAGCAAAATGCTCATAGACATAAAATAAGAATAAATAAATAAATTTTAAAAATTACTTTCAAGCTACGTCTAAGTTGTATAAGAAACCCAGATGCATTTTGTGTTTAGATTATTGTCTCATTCCCAAGATATGATAGCTATGCAAATCTAAAAAAAAAAAAAACCCAACACAAAACACTTCTGAGTTGGGTGTAGTGGCATATACCTTTAGTCACAGCATCTAGGAGGCAAAGGCAGACAGATTTCTGTGATATCAAGGCTAGCCTGGTCTACATAGTGAGTTCCAAGCTAACAAACAGTCCCAAATACTTCTGGTTCTCGTACTGGTTCTCGAACAGGGAAATATATTCAACTGTATTCCTAATTTTTGTATTCTTCTTCCGTAAAGGGAGCTCTTGAGTCGTGTTAGTTTTGGTTCCCACAGATGTAGATCCAGCTCTGGCCCCATCATTGATTCTATTATTATATTACAATATTATTATATGTATTATTGTAGTCTTGGGCAAGTCACTTAACCGTTCTAAGCTTGTTGCTCTTCCACAAAAAAAGTGAATAACAATTGGGATGGGTGAGGATCCATCTCATGACCTTATTCCATTTTTGAAACCATTACTAGAGGAAATCGCCCAGCCGAAGGAAACATTAGACCAGAATATAGAGAGGGGGGTACAAGGTGCCGGCAATGATGGTGAGCGAGTGAAGCTGCTGCAACTGAAATCTAAATAACTGGAAACAATGTGGTTGACGCAAACCTCTAATGCAATTTAGAAGGAGAAATTCTCGTAATAGAAGAGACATTATGCAAAGATAAATTTAATAATAAGCTGTATGTATATTTCCAGATTGTTTCTGCACAACCTGGGGAACAGGAAAGAAGGAATGAAAACACGCTAACAGGCTTGTCTTGATGCATGATGACTTTGACATTCTTGACACTGATTAGTATAGGCTAAGGTATCGGTTAGACACAGTCAACTAGAGAATAGAGTAAGAATGAGGTGATCTTCCTCCTCCTCCTTTTTCTCCTTCTTCTTTTTCTCTTTGGATTTTTTGAGTCAGTCTCCTGTAGCCCAGACTAGACTCAAACTCACTATGTAGCTAAGCTTGGCCCTGAACTTGATCTTACTGCTTCCACCTCCCAAGTGCTGGGATTATAGATGGGTACCACTGTGCATGGCAAGGATGAGAGTTTCTTCACCTCCTTCTACACAGAGGACAAATGCCTTGCCCCCCAGCTAAGAGCTGGGCACACAAGGCAGGGAGGCTGCTGCCAGCAGGTACCTCTAACCTCCCTCTTTGGCACAGGCCTTATCCAGGTGGGGTGTATGGTGGTGACAGACTGGGCTGGGAACAGATCAACTCAATGTCTTGCTGCCTGGAAACAATCAGGCCAGATTAGACTGGCCAGGAAGCAGGACAAGACCTGACTCAGAGAATGATCCAAGGTTCCAGTGGTTCTGACCCAAGAATGCTGTGCCACAGCTCACTGTGCAGAGCTGGGAATTGATCTTCCCTGTGCCAGGCCCAGGCCTTATACTGACCCAGGCATCTCAAAGAACTTGAGGTCACTCCCAATTTAACTGTTATGGAATCATATATTAGCTACAAATCCCCAGGGATGTGGACAGGTAAGGCTTCAGGGGTAAACTAGCATTTTATTTACCCAAGCCACAGTGACTTTGGTGGCCCCTGGTCAAATGTGTGAGATACTGACAGCACACAGATAGCAGGGAGCAAGTCCAAGTATATGTTTGGTGTCTGAAGTTATAGGGCCTCTAAGACAAGGGACAGCTTCGCTCCCAAATTGTGGCTCTTTGAGGACAAAGGCTGGGACTTTCCGAGTCAGAGAGCCTCCTGCCCCCGCTAAGGCTCCTCTAATACCTCCATCAAGGCCCTGTGAAGCTTGATGTCCTGAGTAGGCCAGCTCCTTCTTGCCCACGGGGCTCCCCTTAGAGTCATCTCTGGGATCTGCCTGCAGGGGGCGCCAAATAGACACTTCTTGAAGGCAGTAAGGGGTTGGGTAGGAACTCTGAGTCTGTCCTGACTGCACAGATGTGCACAGCTGGAGCCTGAGAAATGGAATCCACTCCCACTGGAGGCGCGGGTAGGGTCTCCAGGTGTGTGGCAGAGCTGGGCTGAGGCACTGTTCTAGTCTGGCCTGTTTCCTCAGAGACAGAGGGAAGAGGGTCTGTAGTGCAATTCCTTCCCCCAGCAAGTGTGGCTCCAGGTCTGTTGTCTAGCTGGGGGAGGAATGAGAAAGACCCTCTTGCTTGAGAAGTGGCCAACACATCAACCCTCCAACAATTCCTTGGTTCCAACAAGCAAGCAAAGGCCCAGAGAGGGCCAGCAGCTTGTTCAAAGCCACACCACAATTTAGTGGAGGATCCGGAATTGGAAGACAGTATTTCTGATGCCCCCATCTTGAGCAAAGGGCTTAGAGGACATAACACACAGCTGTGGCTGCCACTGTTGGCTAGGGTGGGGCTGGAACAGCTCACACCCTGGAATCCTTGGGCTTCTTCTCTGGCCCCGATGTCAAGAGCTGCTGCTGCAGGCCAGAGCTGGACACAGTGGCCTTGGTCTCCGCCTCTTTGTTTTGCTGCCTCAAAATGGCCAAAACTAAGGTGAAGCACATCAAGGAGCCAGTTTTGAAGAAGAACTGTAAGCCGATGAATCTGAGGGAAGAGTGAAGAACCACTGAACTCAGGAGCTGGGCTTTGGGGCTTGGGTGGCCTCGGGTTGGAAACAGTAGAGTCAGCACACATCACCCATAGTGCAATTAGAGATGCTGAGGCCTGGAGGGACGCATGTTATCCTATTTGACTTTTGCTCTGTGGGGATGGCTCCTTGGACAGTCCTAGCCTGCAGGACTGTGGCACAGAGCTGCAGGTGACCAGCTCCCTGCCTGCAAGTCCTCCCCACATTCACCCAGCCTATGCGTCCATGCCTTTGGGTTCCTCTGAGTTCCCTATTGTACAGATGGAAAGGTTAAAGCTGGAGGCAGGGGCAGGGCTCCCTCTTCAGGTTCCGGCAAGGACTCTGCCTTCTGACAGCTTGGGGTGTGGCGTGGCTCTGCCAGTTGTGCCACCTGTCACCTGGGACCTCTTACTTTAGCTTTTACTTTCCACATCTATAAAAAGGGGAGCTAGCTAGGTGTGGTGGCTTATACTTGCAAACACAGTACTCCAGAGGCTGAGTTGGGCTCAGCACAGACACAGCATCTATCACTTAGCAGGTGCCCTGACACAGACCCTCCCCTTCTGTTGCTTACCGGTTTCGGAGCAGGTCGTGATCATAGTAGCGGCAGACGGCTCGCCGCCCACAGTTCAGGGCCCAGTGCACACAGGTCGTGTCTATGGCACTGCCGTGGATCACAGGGCTGGGCATCCAGGCTAGGGAAGGAAAGGGCTCAGGGGACAGCAAAGGCCCAGCATTCCCCAGTCCCTCATCCTTGGCTCACATGATCCACAGTGGTTCTGGGCCTCTTGACTCAGAAGTCTTTGGCCTTCAGCCATCTCTTAGCCCACATTGGAGGGAGTCTCCATCAGACTTGGTGGGGCCCAGGCACACTACCTCCAGATACATGGGTCAGCCCTGTTACCCCCTGCACCTGTGAGCCCTGAGGTCAGGGACTGGGTCCCACTCAAGGCTGTGTCTCTCAGGCCTGGCACACAGCATATATCTGGACCCCCATCTCTACCATCAAGGGCCCCAGGCAGGCTCTTTACCCAGCACTCTCAGAAGCATGAACTGCATTCCCACGGCCAGGGTCTTGTCTTCTTTTTTCACTCCCCTATCAAGAAGGACATGGCAGCTTAAGGACTGACCGAGAAGCTCCAGCCCCTGCCCCAGGCAGCCGCAGGGCCTTACGAGACCCTTCTCTCCTCCGTCAGTTGAAGGTCTAGGCCGGGAGCTCCATCCCACCTGTCACTCTTCTGTACAGCCTGCTCTCAACTCCGTGGGCATCAGCTCCCTCTACATTTGCTGTCTGTGTGTCTTCTAATATTCCTTTCTAACTTTCTAGAAAGTAGCTCATGAATATCAAAACCCAGCAGTATGAAAAACAGGAATTATCTTGTTCTGAGGTCGCCCTAGCCCAGGGGTACCTCAGATGACAATTTGTTGGACCCAGTGAGAAATTAAAGGCCTGGGCTATAAAACTTGAGCCAGTTCCTGAACTTTTCTGAGCCTACATTGTTCCTTGTCTGTAAGACAAAGGAAGAAGCCTCACCCTAGTAGACTGCTTGGGGGTTGGAGACAGGACAGCAAGGAGCTCATCTGTCATGGAGGTCCAGGACACTTGAGTGGCCTTATTCCTTCAATTCTTCCTTTGAACATCTCATCCTGGCTGTGGTTAAGGGTATCTTAATCCACAGGGTACCCACCCACCCTCTCTGCCATGCTGTCACCTCAGAATGAGCATGAAGGAGGGTGTATGGGTGACACTGGCCACCGCTGATCCCAGGCTGACCAGGAGAATGAAGGGCAGCACCAGGTGGCTGCAGGCTGAGTCGCAGGAACCGGCAGACACCAGGCCATCCCCTGCCACACAGCTGCAGTTGGTGTAGAAAACCTGGAATAGTGAGAAGGGGGAGAAGAGCTTTCAGGAGCTTCCAAGGGCAGCAGCTGGCTAAAGGCCTGAGGCTGGGGAAGCTGCTGACAGGCCCAGGGCCCACAGCCAGCACGGCAGAGCTGGCTGGAGTTCCGGACTCTGACCATCAGCTGAGTTCTGATTACTTGAAGAGCCAAGCAAGGTGCCTGGACACAGACTGGCTGTGGGGTAGAGAGACTGTCTCTAGGCCAGCACTGGTATGTTTGATGGCAGCCTGTAAAACCTCTTTCCAGGGAGAAGTTGAGAAGCAGTTTGGTTACCAGTGCCCTTCGGTATCTTTCAGGAACAAGGCCAAACCAGGAAGCCTGGGTTTCTCTTTTCTTCCCCATGGGTCAGAGCTTTCACCCATCCACCCATCCATCCATCCATCCATCCATCCATCCATCCATCCATCCATCCATCTTGGCCTGTACATAAGTTACCGGATGTGGGTTCTGGGAACTGAACTCAGGTTCTCTGCAAGAGCAGTACATGCTCTTAACTGTTGAGCGTCTCTCCAGCCCCAGGTCAGGGCTTCCTGACCAGTGGACCCCAGCTACCTGTGCAGGCATGGGTCCCATCAGTTCTCAAGGTGGCCCTACTAGCCTGAGGACCTGGAGCCCTGTGGGCCTCTCATCTCTCTCTATGACAGCCTCAGATAATTCCCAGGATGAGAGGAACTGAGAAGTCCAAGGTGGAGACTGGGAGCCTTGGAAGGATTTAAGCCCAGTGGACCAGATGAGAAGGGTTCTGTGATCTGGATGGATGGGTAAAGAGTTTGGAGGTGAAGTGTTTTTTTGGAAATAGAATTAAAGAGAGGCAAAGGCAAGGTGGCAGATGGAAGAACTCTGGGACAGTAGCTGGACACATAAGCCATCCATGAACTGCAGAGCTGATGGGCATGGGCAGGCTGTGCTGTGCCTTCAGTCTCTCCCACAGGACTGATTCTACCTTGGGAGCCTGAGATCCAACCAGTGCCCACCTTTCTCCATCTCAGCCTGCGCCCACCCATGCATACATTATTACAGAGCACTCTTTGGGTGTAGACTCAGAGCCCAGGGGCTCATGTTGAACTGAGAGGGTCCACACGACAAGGGCCAATCCTAGGCCAGAGGGATGTTCCTGGGTGTTGACCCTTCTCCGAATGCCTAATCCAGACCCAGTCTCTGGATCCGGTGTAGGCTGGCCTGAAGGCTAGAGCCCTGGTTCTAGTCCCAGCTCTGGTATGAGACTCTGGGAGCTGCCTCGTCTTTTTCCATGCCTTCATTTCCCACCTGTACAACAGGCCGATTAGGAGTTGAGTATATAGAGTGCTTTAACATCTCCTAGGCCTTGTGGGAGAGACTTTTTTGGGCAAAGTCATGTGGTTCTTCGATTCCTAGTTAATGAGCTCACCCAGGCAAAGTATTCATTCAGAACAAGTCCTGCTGTCTAGGAAGCCCATACATACTGTGTGTTCTTTCAAATCTTTGCATATACTGTTGCCCCTGCATGGGAAGTCCTTCCCTCCCAAGTCCTGGCTTGCCTATTCACCGTGGAAGATCTGGCACAGACGTCACCTCTCTTGGAGCCTTCTGGGTCCCTTTTAGGTGGGCCATGTCCTGTCCGTTCTTGTATGAACTGGTAGGGACCATTTCTGCCCATCTGCAGCCCGGACTCCTGAGGGCCATTTCCTTGATATATCTGCTGCAGAGGCAGCTGAGGGCTGGCTCTGGCTCACCTCCTTGGGCCCTGGTTGGCAATGAAACTTACTGAGAGAATGATGCTTTGCACCTGCCAAAGCAGAGGAGAGAGGCAGCAACAGAGGGAAGAGATCCAGAGAGCAAAGGCACTGAGAGGTGCAGGGTGACAAGGCCCCACAGACTGAGAGTGGCAGAGGCTGTGCTGGAGGTCAGCCTTACCTGGCTTTTACCCAGAGTCTCCTGGACTATGCGGCCTGTGCATCCAGCATGGCAGGGCGTGATGTACTCCACATGGGCGCTGGTGTCACACACAGGGTTAAAATCATCTGATTGGCAAGAGCAGGGCTCTGCGCAGCCAGGAAAGAAGCCTGGACCTGGCTGGGTGCTGAACAGAGAGAAGGCAATCGGAGCTGGCTCAGCTCTCCTTCCTGGGGCCTCTCACCCTGCAGCCTGGCTTTACTCTGAGAACAATGGCCAATGATTTCAGCTGCAGCTGCTCTCTGGGGGAGAAAGGCTGAAACTCAGGGAGCCTAGACCAGAGACCACTAATCAGGTTTACAACCCTGGATCCTATGCATTTGGGAGTTTCTGCAAATATCCTTGTACCTTGGTGGAACACCAGAGAAAGTCCTCCCAGAAGTGAGTGTCAGATGAGGAGGCTATTGTCTCCATGAAGTGGATCACCACCTTGCCCCAGGAAAGTACAGCTGTGCACAGGGCCCCAGTAGGGTGATCAACCAGCTGTGGGGGCTCCAATCTGTGCCTGTCTCCCGCTCCGGGGCCTTAGTTCTGTTAGCTGGGCTGGGGCTCCCTCTCCCTGTCAGCCTCCTGAAGTCTCACAACCTCTCTGTTCACGCCACTGTCCTACTCCCTGTTTCCAGATCCCAGAGGTGCCCAGGACAAGGTATGGGTGGACAGGAGCAGGAACTCAGAGAGAGGCTGAGTTTGAAGGAGGAATATTACTGTGCAGGTAGACAGAGAGATGGACTTTGAAACACAGGCTGATCTGGCTTCATGCTAGGAGGGAACATAGCACATCAGCTGGGGACAGAGGCCCAGAGAGGCTGGTGAGTCACATAGGGTCGTGCAAGGGTCCAGCGGCTAGGCTGAGGAGAAGGGACCAGTGGGAGAAACTGGAGGTCGCCCTGTTGGGATTTGCGAGGGAACAGAGCAGAGACTCAGGTAGAGCCATGGACCTCGCAAGCTTAGTGAAATCTCAGTTCCATCAGAAGAGGGTTGGCAGGGGCTGGAGAGGCTGAGAGAGAATGATTGTTGATATGGTACTGAGATAGCCTGGGAAGGGGAGGTAGTCATGAGGTAGAGGTGAGCGTCTCCTTCCTTAAGGAGGGGAGGTCTCTCTCTGAGTGAGGAGGAAGGCTCACCAGCCAGCACAATCCTGTTCTCCTTCCTTCTAGCCATGCACTGTTCCAGTGTCTGACAGTGTCATGGCACGTCCTCCATAGGAGGGGGACAAATTGGCACTGCTGGAGCTGAGAAGCCCCAGGATGCTGTCCAGACGCTTCTTAGAACCCATGTCAACAAATGGAAGGCTGAGCAGGTGTGGGTGGGATCTTGGGTTCTTCCTCAACCCTTCCTCTCTCCTTGATTGCCTGCTTGCTTCTGCAGGAAGAATCTTAGCTCCAGGCCCTGCCGTGCCCCCATACTGTAAAGTGGGCACCATGCTAGGACTTATTACAGAGATTTCATGGGCGCTCAATGGGACATAAGAGGGAAACCATGAGTCTTCGGGGTGTACAGGACACCTCAGCTCTGGGCATCACTGTAGAGGAATATGAGAGATTTTCCTCAATTCACTTGATTGGTCTTAAAAATCTTCAGTGAGCTACAACACAGAGCTCATAAAATAACTTGTAAGAATATTGGTAAGAGATATGTCAAAGCTGAAGAGAGAGGGGAGAGGAAGGAGACACGGGCAGGCAGGATGGCTTTTAAAAACATGGTAAAGGGGATGGACAGATGGCTCAGTAGTTAAGAGCACTGATTATTTTTCCAGAGCACCCAGATTCGGTTTCTAGCACCCATAATGGTGGCTAACAATGGTCCTTAACTCCATTTCCAGGGAACCTGACGCCCTCTTCTGGCTTTTGTGGGTATTGCACATATGAGTGACAGATGCAGGCAAAACACTTTTACACATAAAATAAAAATAAATTCTAAGAAAGAAAGAAAGAAAGAAAGAAAGAAAGAAGGAAGGAAAGAAAGAAAGGGAGAGCGAGGAGGAAGAGAGAGAAAGAGAGAATGAATAATAGGTAAATGTCCATTTACTTTGTACTTGAAAAAGCATTGAGAGGATGTGGTCCTTGGTCAGACTGGGGACTTCAGCTGCAGGCCTAGGGTAGGTTCAGCTCTGCACATGGAAAAACAAAGTCTTAACAGCTTGGCTGTTAGAGAAAAGGAGAGAGGGAGGAGAAAGAAAGAGCCAGGTGCTGAGGGCGGGGCCTGAGGTGCCTGCAGTCATGTGTAGGAGCCCAGGTGAGGGAACCTGGCACTTAAGTGGGGGCACATATGACAAGGAAGAGGCAGGGCAGGAAAGCTGGGAAATTCTAGCTGGGTGCTAGAACCTGACCTAAGCCTAGAACCGTTTCCAGGAAAAATGAGATCATTGTAGGGTAGGGGCCAGATTGGAATTTTTAACAACCCCTCTAAGAAGATTCCCAAGGGAGAAGCTTGTGTAAAGTCGAGGGAGGAGAGAGCAGGGGTAGGAGGAGGTAGAAAGTTTTCTCCAGGTCAGTGGAGCAAGGCATTCTGAAACACCAAGGAAAACAGAACTGGAGCTCAGTCTCTTAAATGTGGAGAATCAGTTTCCAGTCCGTATCCTATCCCAGTCAACTTCTCTGCAGTCTCTTTGCGAAGGACCTTCCAACCATGTCTACCACCATGGGTGGAGGTGTTGGCCCCTTCTAGGTCAGACCTAACCTCAGCTGGGAGCAAAAGCCTCTTTCAGGCTGGGCTGAGTTCTTGCTGTCTATATGTGGCCTCTGTGTGCTTCTGCTGGCCCACAGGCTCAGCCTCCCTGGAGATGCCATCCCATAGGTGACTATTCCCTGACTCGGTCTCTGGCCCTTCTCAGGCCTGAGTTCTCCTTCCCTTGATGCCTTCCAGAGTGGCCACTGCTTATTCTTGAACTTATGGAGGGACTTGTATAGAACCTTATAGAAACTAGGAGAGATGGTGTCCCAGGGAGGTGACTGATGTAAGACCACTTGCCTCCCTATGCATCCTCACACGCACAAGCCTACTCACTCTGGGCGCAGGGTGATGCCTGCAATCTGATGGGTGGAGCAGCCGATGAAGAAGAGCGGCAGGCTGAGCAGTAGGCACAACAGCATCCCCAGAAGGCAAAGGACACTGCAGTGCATGGGGCTCAGGTGGAGACGCTTGACAAGGATACCTCCTACCACAATGCCCATGATGGCCAAGGGGATCGTGAGGCAGCCAAGGAGCAGGTTGGCAAAAGAGGCTGTGATGGAAAACTGGCGCTCCAGGACCTTAGGCAGGAAGGTGCCCATGCCAGCCACCATAGATGACATGCACACCTGGGACAGGACAACCAGCAGGAAGATGGGGTGGCGCAGTGTCCGCAGCAGCACCCTGGGGAAGACTGTTGGGACAAGCAGGGAGGAGGTCAGCACAGACAATCAGCCACACCACCAGTGTCTGTCCGCCCTGCTTTTTGTTCCTTTCAACTCCCTGTCCCGTCCCGTCCCGTCCCGTTCCGTTCCATTCTGTTCCATTAGTTCTAGTGCATCTGATTCTATCCCACTACATAAGGTATGACTCCCTGCCATTCTACCACAGTTTTGAAATTCTGTTTATTTTTCCATTCCACTGTGTTAGATGGCATTTTATTTAAAGTGTTTATTTCTGCTCAGTTCTATTGGATTCAACAGAGTTCTGTTTCATGTTGTCTTATCTGAGTCCCATCTCATTTCTTTTTTTTTTTTTCTTCTCATTTCTATTGAATCACCCCCTTTCCCCCCACTGGGCCCTTTCCATCTTGTCCTGCTGTAGTTTTTTCCAAGATAATGTGGGCTTGGCTCCTTCCCTCTGTGTCCTCAATCCAAGTCCCCACTGTACCCCGATCTCACCACTGGCATGTGTTTCCCCAGAGCACTTTACTTAACAGAATATACATTTCATTCACTTAGCTGTTTTACTGCACCCCATGCCCATTTTGTCTTAGAGCAGTATTTTTTCATTGTGTTAATTGCTTTATCTCTAGAGTCCTGGGCATAATAGGCACTTAGTAAATACTGTTTAATGAATGAAGACATGGATATACAGATCGAATGTCCAAATGCCTGGGGCAGAATCTCATATCTCCAGAGAGGATGAACCCTAGGCATCCTTGGGCTGGGAGGTTTACTGGAGGAAGGACAGAGCTAGCACCTAGAGAATGGGGGCACCTGGAGAGGTGGAGCAAGAGGAGAAGGAATTCCTAGTAGTAGGGTGGCCAGAACAACAGCTTAGAGACCAGCAGCTACTCTGCCATCGAGGACCTCTCCAGGTGCCCCGTTCAGGCTTCCTCCCAGAAAATCTGCTAAACCCAAGGGCTCAGAATGATGAGCAAGTCCCTTCCCTCTTGGATTCAGTGTCCTTATGAGTAGCAATGCCCATGATGTCCAAGGACACTTTCTGTTCTGACATGGGTGACCCTCTCTTTCTAATGTTAACCATGAGGTGTGGGAAAGAGGAGAAGAGAAGCAAGTCATTAACCAGGCTGGGCTGGTGGAGAGGCAGCCAGGGGTCAGGTGGGGGATCTTCTGTTTTTGCAGCAGCTAGATGAGGGGTCTGTGTCCCTGTGTTGTAGGAAACTACTTCAGTCTCCTCAGAGCATAATGGAGCCAGCTAGGTCCCTAACCCCCAGAGGCTGGGCCAGGAGCTGTTTCTTTTGAAGCCAGAAAATAGGCAGTCTAGGAATGGGGAGTGGGAGTTGGAGTTGTGGAATTCCCCCTTCTTTAAGCCCCAAACGTGCCTCCTCTTGTCTCTAGTTCCTTGCCACAAACAGTGTGTTCAGCTACCCCCCCAGACCCCTTAGAAACTGCTACAAGTCCTCTCTTTTTCCCTTCCTCCGTGCCTCTCCCTTTCTTCTTCCCTTCCTAGCTGCCCAGGATGTGCCATATGAGCCAAGGGATTTTGGCTTTCACTTCAAGGGAGAGGCAGGGACACACCTAGGTTTACACAGAGAGGTCAGGGCAAGGCCAGGAGTTCCCCCAGGTCTCTTGACCCCTAGCTCAGAGGCCCTCACCCTTCTAGCCTTCCTCCTCCATTCCTGTCCTCTCTGGCAGCCTGACTCCAGAGGGCTCCTGTTCATTCTGCGGCATTGATCATTGCAGTAGACTGTAGGCCCATCCCCCATCTCTCAGCAGCCACAGCTTTCTCAAGGAATGGAAAATTCCTGGAGGGCAGGGCTTTCATTTTGCTACCTGAAGAGGAATTCCAGGGCCTGTCTCCAGCTCAGAAGCACATCTTCCCGTAAGGGTTAGGTCAGGGCTTCCCTCAGGGGCACACGTGGTCTCCCCCATCAGACACGCCAGGGCCTCCCTCAACTCGGTGACCGCCTTCCTTCCTTCCCTGCCTTTTTCAGCTCAGAAGCCAGGCACTGGCCTTAAATAAGACAAGAATGCCCTTAGTTCAGTGCTGTATTCCCTCCCATGAGTCAAGGGCCTCCCTTAACTTAAGGACCATGGCTGTCCCATCAGACAGTGGCCTCCTCTATCATCCTGGTCAGGTCTCTTCCACCGGATAGATATAGGCTCTCCCTCCATTTGCTGACTGTAAGAGTATATCTCACCCATCAAACAGGAGCCCCAACCCCCGCCAGGAACTGTGTCTTCCCCTAAGAGTTTCTACTCCTTCTAGATGGTTAAGGCTAGACCCTTTGATCAGAATGACTTCTCTTTAGCTCTGCAGGTCATAGGCTGCTCATAGGCTCGCTGATGAGGCACAGAGCCTATGGTCAGCCTTGCCTCTGTCTCCTGAAGTCTCCTGTAGAAGCTGAATCTACCAGAGACAAACTGGCCTAGAACATCTCAGCTCTAGGATTCAGTTTGAGCAACCAGCTCAAAATGCTTTCTGGGCAGAAGCCAAAGCCATGATTAATAAGCTCTTCCATGGTGCAATATGCTGAGGCCTTTCAGTAGTTGTGGGTGACCTGAGGTCATGAGTGCAGATCCCTGTCCCTAGGCCTAGTCCCATGGAATTTGGGCATTCTCTTCCCCTGGGAATGCTGGAGAACCAGGGGCTAGATTATGGATACTCCATCATTAATTCTTAGGAAACCTTGCTGCAGAATTGGGTTCAATTTTTTTCTTGCTACAAATGTATTGTGAAGGGTTAAGGTCCTTTTGGATAAGAGCTTCCTAAGCCACAATAGCTCCGTTTACTGTCTGGGCATTAGTAAAAACACAGGGTAGGGAGCTGGAGAGATGGCTTAGCAGTTAAGAGCACTGGGTGCTTTTGCAGAGGACACGGGTTTGAATCCCATCATTCACATGGCAGCTAACTCCATAACTCCAGTTCCAGGGGATCTGATGGCCTCTTCTGACCTCCAACGGTACTGCATGACATGGGTGCACTTACATGTATGCAGGCAATATACTCATATACATAAAATAAAAATTATATATATATATATATTAAAAAAGAACAGGGTAGGCATGGTCATGGAAAACCTTGTATAAGCAGTTTTTAGAATAGTAAGCAGGGCTGCCAATGTCTCATCCCACGTGACCATATACTAATCTTGAGAGAGGCAAAGCAAAGATTATCGACCTAGTCTTTTAGATGAGGAAATGGAGGTTAGAAATAGAAAGTAACTCCACAAGACTACACCTTGACCATGTCTGGCAGGGCTCACAGCCAGGTCTTCTGACTTGCTACCCAGTGCTCTCTAAAAGCCTGGCACCCAGCAAACAATGTCCATGGGACTGGATTCTTTAGAAAGTGCTTCCTGGTCCCAATGTGGGCTCTGGTTACTGACTGATTGATTTCATAATGTCAGGATCAGACTTCCATGAAGTTTACCTCAGTGAGTCTGAGAATTTGTTCTGGGAAATTGAGGTTCACAGAGAACCAAGCACCAAGAACAAAACACTAGGTTTCTGGATTTTATCCTATGCCACAGTCTGGGGATTTAATAGGATTTACCAAGGGCCTCCTGCTTGCAGGCTCAGGGAGGATGAGAGAAGGGCACAGGCCTTGGCTTTCAGTTTACTGTTTATGACCAAGGACTTGACAGATGGCTGAGCTGTTATGGAAGACCTGAGCATGCTCAGAGCCCAAAGAAAGTAGGGATGCAACCTTGTTCCCCGTGGACAGAAGGTTTTTGAACTCGACCTAGAAGGACAAGGAAGATTGTGATAGACAGCAGTAAGAAAAGATATTTCTGACAGAGAGGGATGCATCAACAGACACTCACCAGGAGTATATGGTGCTTATGAGGGGCCTGTAGGTACAGAAGAAAAATGAAGAAAGACCAGAGGGGTTGCATCCTGTATAGGGTCCCTCAAGGGTTCCTCTGGCTACCTCTCCCTAGCCTGGCCTGGGCTCACTTACCTTTGATGAACTGAACCACGGTCAAGTCTGGGGAGATCTGGGCCAGGCCATCCTTCTTCTTTGAGGGCTCCTGCTCAGAGGAGGGTTCTTCATCCTGGGAAGACACATAACCAGGCCCACTTAACCAAATGGAGGAAATCCTACTTGCAGATGGCAGTGAGGTGGGCAAGGTAGCTCTGGGATGAGGAGAGGGTGGGACTCAGTCACTTCATCGGGAGCAATGGGCCACCAGTGTTCCATTGGTTCTTAGACCTATAGAAACTTAACAAGGGATTTTGAATGAAATTCTTGTGGCTAAACTCTGTCATGTCATCATTAACATGCTAATCATCATCAGCATTATGGTGAAAAATTACCCCCATAGTCACCACCACCATCAGTCCTATCACTGTGACTGTTCCCCCAACTCATATCAGCAACAGTTTCATAACTAGTTAGGTGACCAATTTATTCACAATACTCTCATTACATGATTATCATTGATTCTGCTCTAGCCACAGGCTCTGTCATTATCATGGTTACCCGAACCTTTAGAATCACTGTCAACACCATGATTATCATACCATGATCACTGTCTTTAATATCAGTATCTTCACCAGTATCAATGTCACCAATCTCATCTCCATGACCACCACTGTCACTAAAGGACACCATGAACTCACAGTCCTATCACCACTGCTGTCACCAGTATCTCCGTGTTGATGTTGTTATCAAAATCACTGGTACTGTGACCACCAAGGTCACCTATCCCATCACCGCTATCATCAACCATCAATGTCACTGTCCTCATTAGGAGCATCTTTACCATTCTTACCACTGGCATTACTCAACATGATAGCTACCCTACTGTATGTATGAATCTTATGTCATTACATTTTTCTATGTGGCCTGAAGTTAGTTAGCAGTAGGCAATTTCTGGGGAGAAGACTTTGACCTAGTGTAAGGAACAGCTTGGGAGAGGCTGACCCTGGAGGAAGTTAGTTCTCCAGAAAGATGTGTGGACCAGGATGCTGAATACCAGCAAGAGAGTGGGCTGGGCTTCCTCAGTTCTTCTGCCCTTTTTTGTCCCTTGATATCCCTATGGGGGCTCATCCTGTGGTCCAGCCTGGCACCTCTTTCTGGTCTCATTTCATTTCCCCCCTTTTTGAGAAAGTCTCATTATATAACCCTGGCTGGCTTGAAATTCACTATGTAGACCAGGCTTGACCTCAAATGATGACAAGGTGATCCTCCTACCTCTGCCTCCTGACTGCTAAGATTACAACCATGAGCCGTTATGCCTGGCTTTCCATCTCATTTTTCAGGTGAGCTACAGGAGACAAACACTGGCTTTCCCCAGGTCAGAACCCATGGGGGCCGCCACCTGAGAACTCTTGTCCAAGCTTCCTTTTGCTTGACACTGGCTGCCAAAGCCTGGCCTGTCCCAGCAGGCAATTCATTTGAATATTAATCCATGCATGCCATCTCCATTGCTCTGCCCTTCTCTTTTCTTACATTCCAGCAGGGAGCAGCTTTAGGTTTTCCGGCTTCAGAGGGAGGTTTGCGACTGGGCAGAAGGCACTAATGGGCTTTGTCATTCTCACAATGGGGAAAAACAGAATGAGAAATAAATGGGGCAGGCACTGAGCAAATTCGGGTTCTATTAGCAGCTGGGAGCCATGTAGCTCTGAGACCTAACTCAGAGAAGGTTTCCCCAATTCCCAGCCATACCAAGACTTCTCTGCTCCAAATCTGCTAAAAGGGTCAGTTATGGGTGGCAGGGTGGTGGGTGGGCATTACCATAGTGACCAGGGCGGCCTGAAGATATTTCCTTGTGGGCAGGGCAGGCCTCTGTGATGCCCGAGCCTGGGCAAGACCTCGCAACCTTTGCTTCTGGAGGGTGGGAGAGCCCTGAGAGAGACTGTGTTTGAGTTTCTGAATGATCTGGCAGACTGGGAATTCAGAATAGAAATTAAGTTGATTTCTAGGCAAAGGAGAGAAATATCTATTCTACAAACACTCAAGTCTGAGCCAAACCTTGTTCCATGTCTATCTTCTCTGTTGGACTGAGTTCTGCATAAACAGGCTTTGTGTTTATCTTGTTCTCTATTGAAACGGGGTGCTGGGGGTGAAATACGGAGTACCGGATACATTTCCATTGAAAGGAGAAGTGGTGGCCCTGATCAGCAGTGCCTGTAGCTGATGCCAGGCTCTTAGGAGGAAAATGTGAACAAGAGGGAATGCTGTCAAGATAGGAGGAGCTCTTGGATCAGGATGGTTCAGAGATACCAGTGAATTCCAGAGTGGGCTACAGAACCAAGGTGCCAGGAGATACTGGGCCTTGGATATGCCAGACCTTGGATGTATGGGCTCAGGGCTCTGCATGCATGAGCTTGTTTTATCTTCCCTGGAACCTGCAAAGGGGGGAGTCCTATATTTCTTCACATGTAAGCAAACATGCTTTGAGAATGGGCGACATGTTCAACTAGAAAGAGGTACAACTGAGACCAGAGCTCAAAGCTTGCCCAAGTGAAAAAACTCATACTTTATCCACTAAACCCATGAGCCAGTGGCCCTGGCAGGACAGGCAGTTAGGAGGCTCTTCTGTGCTTCTGTGATGTGATTGATTTGAAGGGCCTGGGCCCTGAAATCTCCCATTTAAGTTTTCTGTAAGTGAGGTTCCTGCCTATATTACTCACTATGCCTTGAAGGTAAGGCCAAACTTTTGACCCTGCAAAACACTGTAGCCATCTGCAAAGTTCATACTCGAGAACCACGCAGTAGTGTTAAAAAAAATCACAAAATATTTTTATAATTTTTTTGAGATAGGATCTCACTTTATAACCCTGGTTAGCCTGGAACTCATTACATAGACCAAGCTGGCATGTAACTCACAGTGTCTGTTTCCATCTGCCTCTGGAGTGCTGAGATTAAAGGCCTGTGCCACCCATGCCCAGTTTCAAAAGAAATGATAATGTTTTAAGTAACTTTATGATTCTGTGTTGGGCTACATTCATACTATTCTAGGGTACCTATGGCCTGTGGGCTACAGGTTGGACATGACTGAGAGCCATACTATCTAATGGAGCAGCCACCAGTCATATGTCCCTCCTGAGCATCTAAATTTTAGACATAGTGGTATGCGTGTGTGTGTGTGTGTGTGTGTGTGTGGACAGAATCTCATGTAGTCCAAGCTGACTGATGATGAGCTTGAACTTTTTTTTTCCTGAGACAGAATTTCACTATGTAGCTCAGGCTGGCCTAGAGTTTGCTATGTATATCACATAGCTCAGGTTAGTCTCAAACTCATGATGATCTTTTTGCCTCAGTTGACAGGGTGCTGGGATTACTGGCATTAGCTACTACATCTAGCTGACTGAACTCCTGATCCTCCTGCCTCCATCTCTCAAGTGCTGGGACTACAAGCATGCCTAGCCTAAATTTATTATCAAAATAAACTTTGTTGGGGACTAGAGAGATGTCTCAGTGGTTAAGAGCACTGGCTGTTCTTGCAGAGGCCCTGGGTTTGATTCCCAGCACCCACATCGTGGCTAACAACCATCCATAATTCCAGTTCCAGGGAATTCAACGCCTTCTTCTTACCTCCATTGGCACTGCAATGGCACAGGTGCAATTATACACATGAAAGCAATATACTCATATACACAGAATAAAAATAATAAATGAAAAATTTTTAAATGAACTTTGTTGACTTTTAATGTGGCTACTGAAGAATCTAGAATCACACACACATGTGGCTTATCTGAGATTTCTTTTGGCCATGGTGGATCAGTGTATCTCCTTGGTCCTTTCATAGCCCCAGCCACACCATGGGAGAGTGGCCCAGATAGCAAAGAGAGGTACTAGGATGGGGTACAGCCCTGGAAGAAAGTAGGAGAGCCTGGAAATAGACTGAAAACTGTTTCTTATCAGGGAGGGGCATGCTTGCTCTTGAGAGACAGGCAGAGCCTTCTCTGCTTCCTGTCCCCAGGTCACACTGTTGCAGCTCCCACATGCATATCCTTATCAGGTTCACTGCACTTTCACACCCACCCAGTCATTTCAGCTCAGTTCATGGCCTGTCTGGTGCAGGCCTTTCCATTCCATTCATTTTGCAGAAGACAGCACAGAGGGGCCATGCTACCAGGGTGGTATAGGCAGACAGGTCCTCAAACCTAGGCTCTCTGGTACCCATGGATTGGAGAGAAGAGAGGAGAGACAGATCTGTAGGGAATGGGGATCAGAGAAGGCGTGCAGAGAGGAGTGTGGCTGAGATCGCACAGACAGAAAGGGAGAGGTGACTGAGCAGAGGCACAATACGAATGGGGAAATGGAGATGGAAGGAGCTTGCATGGGGGGCAGACAGTGGAGACTCCAACCTGACTACAGCAACGACTCACTGGAGCAGCAACTAGGGCAAACGACTGACTAGAACCTGGGAGGTGCGAGGCCAGGTGATAGGACCCAGGCTTTATTCTGGAGGGGCTAGGAGGCTCTCACTATCCCTGGCTCCTGTCCTTTGTGCTCTCAGTATGTTTCTCTCTCTCTTGTCCCACATCCGTTTTGAGGACTGCTGACTAATAGTGGGTTCCTTAGACAAGAAACACTGTGCTTCTGCTCAAAGCAGTGCCTGGGGTGGCCCATCTGGACTGTGGTTTGCCCAGGTCAGCAGGACTGGTAGAACTTCCTCTCTTGGGGCTCTATGCTGACAACTGCAAGCCCATGGGACACCCACACTGTGAGATACAACTTGCTGTGGGCCACTCAGCCTGCACAAGACCCTGTTGGCTACTGGGCCTCCATCAATCTGGGAGCTCTCCTTGGGAACATGTGAGGTCCTGGAAGGCCTCATCTTGGGCTGGGTTCTGAATCCCATGGAGCCAGAGCTGACTGCCATCCCTCAGTGCCTACCTTATGTCACCATGGAAAGTAAGCATAGGGAAGGGCTCTCTGAGCTTGTAGCCCTCTAAGGGGGACAGAGGGTTGGAGCAGAGCACCTGGAAAGCTAGCCTCCAGCTTCTTTCAGAGAGGGTCATACAGCTAGCCATTTGTCTTTCCCTATGGCCATCGGAAGCTTTGAGCCAAGCGAGCAGCTCACCTGTGCTGCCTGAGTTG